ACACACACACACACACACACACACACACACACACACACACTCAAAACACACACACACACACAAGGTCTTTCACCCTGGATCAGGCTCCGTGTTCCCCCTGCACATGTTAGAGACCAAATCCACATGCAAAGAGATTAAAGTGACAGACTCATTACGGGTAACTGACGTCGCCGACGTGAAAGAGCTCACGATGACAAAAATTATAAAACAACTGGGAAAAAACAAAACCCTTATACATCTGTCAGTCAAAAAAAATCCAAACAAACAATGCTTAAGCGGCCACTCGCTTGCCCGGCCTTGAACTACTTCCATCTCTCTCCCTCTTTGTTCCTCTGTCCGTTCGTCGTATTGAGTCAGGGCAGCTCTTGTCTCCTCCTCCTCCTCCTCCTCCTGCTGCTGCTGCTGCTGCTTGCGGGACCTTCTTTCTCCTGTCTTTTTTCGACTTCCGATGTTCACGCTTCTTCTTATTCGTCACCAGATACGATGCCCACACGGGATCTGATGGTGGAGCTGGCTGCACCCAGTGGGATGGAATACGGCTGAAACAACACACACCCAGACATCGTCACACAACAAAAGGCTTCAGCTTAAATCACATTTGCATCGGCATCTCCTCTGTCACCCGGTTGCCCATAGGAATGACGTGTTTGAAATCGGTGTGTGTGTGTCTATTACACCACCACTACCTTTTCACATGCAGGCAAAGTCTGAATCAAAAGTATATTCTATACCGCATTCTTCGAGGCGCGGGCGCCACCGGGCCAAAATGGCTTCGGCGCCAGCCAAAACAAAAGGAAAAAGGTTAGCGCTGGCGCTTCAGCAAAGCTTGGCGCGCAATTCTTCTCCGCCTCGGCAAAAGGAGGATCAGTCTGTGTGTCGACGACATGGTTACACTCGACCCAGACACCGGAGCAATCCGGAGGTGGTCTGGTCGGACCTATGTCTGGACTGCTCCATATGGCCCGGAATGAATCCTCCCCCACCTCCCCCCCAAAAAAGAAGACTTTTTTTACCTTGGACTTTGCTACGAATTTCAAGATGATCCTCGGCCGAAAAAAAAAAGTCTTGCAAATTTGCAATGCTCTATAACTTTTTTTTTTCCTCAGTTTTTTTTTTTTCTTTCAAAAGTCGGAACTTTTTTTGGGGGGGRGGGGGGGGAAGGGATCCGGACGTCTCGCCCGGACACTGGATCTGGACATGCAGACCCAGACTGTCCGCACTGCTATCCGGACATTCGGACTGTAAACATGGTTGATATACGTCAAATTTACCAGAAAAGGAAATTAAAATGAAGTTATTAAAAGACCAGGCCAATCTGTGTGGTACCCTCGTAATCTCACTAACCACTGCTCATGGTGTGTGTATTGTACAAAATTGAAAATTCCAAATAAGTACAAAACCTTGTACCCATGATGACCAGCATTCACTCTCTCTCTCTCTCTCTCTCTCTCTCTCGCGCGCGCGCGCGCTGTGTTGTCAAATTTTCCATACACTCAAAGAAAGCATGGCTGTGCCCCACATCACCGAGAGTTAGTGCTACCCCTGAGAGAGAAAAGCGTCGACTTTTTTAGTGATACCCCTGAGAGAGAAAAGCGGTCGACTTTTTTACTCATACCAACCCCGCAATCCTAGCAGAGTGTCGGTCCAAACCCCTGACAAGAACGGCAGTAAGTCTGTGTGTGTGCGTCTCGCACGCGCGTGCGTGCACATGTGTGCATTTGCTCACTCGATCTGTGTGCCTGTCGCTCTCTCACTCTCATGCTCAGTCAGTCATTCTGGCAGTAATCAGTCCCGAGATCCGTCACATTGCTTATAGATCCCTCCCTCTCCACTCCTGCCTTCACACCCAATGATGCAGACAAGAACCTGGTCATCATCTGAGAGATCAGACGTGCGCATTGCTTTCCTTTTTTCCCCCTCTTTTTTTGGGTCCTGTTTTTTCCTTTTTTCCCCTCTTTTTTTGGGTCCTGTTTTAAAATGCAAGCGTATCCCGCATGTGAGCTCGTGAGAAGTCAAGAAAGAAAGTGATTCCCCAAGTCAACTCTTTTGCTTTCGCATTGTTAAATAGGGAGAGAGGATCCTTAAGCCTGCTTTAGAAAAATTGGCCAACTGGAAAGACCGGCACACTTCTCTTATTGGTAGAGCGCTTGCGATCAACAGCGTAGTGCTGGCGGCCCTGTGGTATAAATCCGCACTTTGGACCCTCAGCAGGGAGGCCGTGCGATCGCTAAAGAGACAATTAACGGCCCTGCTGTGGAGAGGCAATGGTGAGCTCCCGAACGTCATTAGCAGGGTAGTCTGGGAATCGGTGATCCAACCCAAGGACAAAGGGGGCCTGGGGATCCTGGACCCGGATACTCAGATTACCGCATTAATTGTGCAATGGGTTAGGAGATTGCTTTTCACTCAGCACCTCCCATGGTATGCATTGGCGCTGGAACAGATAGCCAGACTTGCCCCGCAAGTACCGCAAGGAGTTAGCCCATTGATCTGGCTGGAAGACCGCTTTTGGACTGTGCCACGGAGCCCCCGCTTCGAGCGGGACTCACCTCGAGACATAGCCCGCTCGGACTTCGTCAGAGATGACTTCTAGACCCGGGCCCTGAGGGCCTAGCGCCAATTCCCGTTGCCCGACCAACCCCCACCAACTAGGTGGGAGGAGGTGATGCGTCCGCCCCTTTTTGGGAACAGGAGGATAACAGACCGGTCCAGCAGGGTGTATCGCAGCTCAGACACCCCGTGGAACAGCTGGGTCAAAAAAGGCATAATCAGAATATGGAACATAGAAGTGGGGGACTGGAAAACGGGCCCACAACTGAGAACCATGTTTAAACACTGCCACAAAGTTGAGAAGAACATGGATCTGCTGATCACTGCTATCCCCCTTGACTGGGTGCGCATTCTACGCAAAGGGCCACGACTAATAGAACGAGACTGGGTAGCTGCCCCAGAAGATTCGAAAAGTGTAGGCAATGTGGTGGAGGTACGAACAAACGAAATGCTGGTAAACCTCTTCCACATAGGCAAGGAAAATAAGCTCACCCGTTACTTCCCAGAAGCGATGAGGTGGTGGAAAAATGCAGACCTGCACAAGATACGCGTACTGCAGGATAAAGACAATTGGATTGCATATCAGCCAAATACCCCCGTGATGGAGCTACCCTTTGAACCTGACGAATGGCAGTGGGTTCCCAGGCGAAAACCCAGGTCGGGGACGAATCTAAACTTGCACACTCTAATGGTGAAGGCCACATATTGTCTGCTACGACCAAAGGTGAACATAAAAGAAATAGTGAAAGCCCGATGGAGGTCACACTTGAATGTAGGGATTGAGGCAATCCGCCCGATCCGATCGTTCACCGCCACAAGGTCCAAGCCTGCGAAGATGGCCTCTCTCCAGTGGCAGATAGAGCACCGTTGCTTTCCCACCAATGATTGGTTGATAGATCGCACGTATCTGGAGCAAAAGGGGCGGGCGTTACCCTGGTGCAAATCATGCCACACTGCTTTTCCCCCCCGCAGAATTCCTGAAACCATAGAGCACATATTCATGCAGTGCCCAGGGGCAGTCCTCGCATGGCGATGGTGGGATAGGATCTGGACCCTGTTGGGTACTGATTCCAACTGGCCATGGGATTGGAGGGCCATATTATGCAAGGCATGGTCCTCCCCCACTGACAACCCCTTTGAAAATAACATGTTCAAGCTAGGAAGGAGAGCGGTCATGTGGACCCTATGGAGGAAACGATGTATACATGCCATGGAGGGTGCCCGCATAACTGGGGAAGAGGCAACGGACATGATAAGGCAATACATTCAACAAGAACTCATGGTACAATGGCAAAAAATTAAAAGCCAACTCGATTCATATCACTCAGCAAAGGATATAACACAAGCAATCCACCAATGTTCTGGAGACTGGCTGGGCAGTGAGAAAGGGGGCTGGATCGCATCCGTCGGATGGGAAGGAAAGCCCACCCAGGAAGGCAACCAGTAGGAGTTCAGGAGAGACTACCGTATCTGATTCAGAGACTGGACTACTGTGGGCCAAGAGATCCCACTGCGACCGGCCACATAATTCCCCGACCCCTTCCCGCCCCACCAATTGCCAATGGTGGACATGCAATGGTACGGAGCAGACTAGACAAGTGTCACGGGGCAGATACAGGGAAGACTGAGAACTGGTATCCAGAGGTACACGAGGTAGCCGCCGGGGTAATAGGTGTGATCTGGCGTTCTGGTGCAAACTGAAGAGGCGGCCCATGTTTTGTCCAACGCAACCAACAGGTCTAAGACAATAGAAAGTGATGGGACGCTGGACCTGGTTTCCAACACCTGTGTTCTTCCGTAACTCATCTCATGTTTTTCTTAAGAGGGACGCTGGACCCGGTTTCCAGCAGGTGGTAGACATGCAATGGTATGGAGCGGTATGAGAGGGCCAGCAGCATCAATAAAAGGTATATCTTAAAAGGGCCTTTACCCGTTCAGACCATACTTGCGGCGCACTTCTGCGGTGCGCCGTGCGGTGCGCGTGCGCCATGCGCCATGCGCAAATTAGTGATGTGCGGATCATGCGCCCAATTTTTTTTTTTTTTTTTTTTT